ATTAGAGCTAACTTTCCGGACGAGAGGCGGGTTCACCCTGGACAGGGCGACAGTCTGTCGCAGGGCAACACAGAGACAGACAGGACAAACAACCATGCACACACACACTCACACCTAGGGAGAATTTAGAGAGACCAATTAACCTGACAGTCATGTTTTTGGACTGTGGGAAGAAGCCGGAGTACCTGGAGAAAACCCATGCACGCACAGGGAGAACCTGCAAACTCCATGTAGAAAGACCCCGGGCCAGGATTGAACCCAGAACCTGCAAGGCAACAGCTCTACCACCTGCGCCACTGCGCAGTTTTAATGATTGCAAAATAAACATCAAGCCTGAAAATTCAAAAAAGATTAATCTGTAGCGGACTGAATGTTCTGTTTTGGTATTTATGGGATTTTGTGTGTGTGTGTGTTTTTTTTTATGTGAATTGCTAATACACTTGAAGTAGTCTTTCAACTTGTGGAGCTGTTTGTCTGATGGTTGCCATGGCAACAGGTCTGTGTGTGACGTTGAGATGACAGAATGGGAAAGAAAAGAATACCACTGGTTTTCGTTGTTCTTTTCCTGAGTTTCTATGTGCCTGAACTGATTGCATTATTTGTTTGTAACAAATGATGCAGTGATGCAAATGTGGCAATATTTAAAGCGATCATCGGATGAAATATTTTATAAAGCATATGGTTCAAAGTTTGTTAAATTTTAAACCATGGCTCCTACAGCAGCAATTAGGTAAAATTAAATCATTGGCCATTGTAAAAGAGAAATTCACTTAGTCCTCTATTGCATCTTGACAGAACTGACAGAAACTAAGTTATTTATACATATTTACATCCAGAGAATACAAAGTTTACATATCCAAACATTGGCACTCTTTGCATCTTTAATTTTGGTTCTGAATTAAAACTGAAAATTTTCCCATCTCATTTTTCCCATCTCACCTGTTAAAGTGAGAATAACAAACATAGAACTCAAAATTGACAAATACTGTAAACATTTTTGACATTTAAAATATAAATCAGTGACCAACATAGCCATCCTTCTTTTCAGTAACATTTATAAGCCTTCCATTCTGTCAGTTTTTATGCAGCAGTAACCACAGCCTCCCAGACATTGTTCAGAGATGTGTTCTGTTTCCTCACCATAAATCTCCCATTTAAGAAGGGCCCACAAGTTCTCAATGGGGCTTAGGTCTGGTGGGGAAGGGGACCACTTCATTATTCTTTCATCCTTAAGGCCTTTACTGGCTGGACACATAGTGGAGTATGTGTCCAGTAGTGGTCTGTCAAGAGTTACTCTTATCTCATCAAACCATAAAACCTTTGAGAAATCTGTCTTCAGATCTGTCTTGGCCCAGTCTTGACGTTTCAACTTATGTGTCTTGTTCGCTGGTGGTCAGGTTTCAGCCTTCTTTACCATGGCCATGTCTCAGAGCTCTGGGGACTCCAGGTAGGTTGCAGTTCTGGAATATGACAGCACTGGAAGATAATGGGTTCCTGGTAGCTTCATATTTGATTCTTCTCAAATCTTTGGCAATTAATTTACATCTTTTTTTCTCAACATGTTTCTTGCAACCCTGTTGACTATTTGCAGCAAAACGTTTGATGGTTCTGTGTCAGAGAATCTGTGATCACACCCAATTTCCCCAATAGCTTAGCAACTTCAACAGTGAAAAACTTTTTGACAATTTTGGATTTTTTAGAATCATTTAAATCTTTTTTCTGGCTAACTGTTCTGCACACCTTGATATAGAGTGTTGATCGTCTTAGGCCCTACGCTCCCTCATTAAATAAATACATATCAGCCAATATGTATTTGTATTTGTATATTTATCAATAAACATTCAAGTTTATACAGCGTGGAGTTGGAAAATACAAATAAAAATGATTATATAGTCAAAACTAAAACTTGCCTATTAATTGTGCTCAGTCTTAAGACCTGTTTAAGACCCCACACCATATAGTCTTAGATGTTTCTCTGTTACAGTAGATATGGTTGAAAAGGTTGAATTACGTCTTTAGTAAATTATTCAAGTTCTACAGTTGCATGTGTGTGATTTCAAACTTACCCATGTGTTGAACATCGTAAGTTTGTAGGGAAAACATGCAGCTGAAAATGGGACACTGGGAGGGATTCAAATCTAGGAGTTCACAGAAACTTATCCGATGACTGTGACTCAGAGAAACTCTATATGAAATACTAGAACCACCAACAAGGAATCTTAAAACTAAGGAAGGAAGTGAATATGAAAACCAACAATTGCCCAATCCTAAAATATTGACCAATGTCCCATGCACAGTTTGTGAAAATCCTGCTGTTTCTCAAGACCTTTTCTACTCACCTATGCCATGTTTTTCTAAAAAAAAAAAAAAAAAAAAAAAAAAAAAAATCCCCACTTTTACTATTTGTCTCATGGGTGTATCTGTTTTCCAGGTAAAAGATCAGTGGTGGGAATAATTCAATGGATGAAGCGTCGTGCCGGTCCTGGGACTTCAAATCTTGACTTTGTGGACTCTGCAGCCAAGTTCATCGGCACCCACAATATCTCTGTTGTAGGATTCTTCAATGTAGGTTTCATAAGGCATACTCAGCAATGCCTCTGTGTCTCATGATAGAAGTCCATGTTTAAAACATCAATGTTGTTTCCTCTTGTTCCTTTTTTCCAGAGTTTGGAAAGCGAGTCTGCCAAGGTGTTCAAGGAGGTCGCTTTTGATTTGACTGATGTTGAGTTTGGAGTTACTGCAACTCCTGAAGTGTTTCAGAAGTACGAAGTGAAATCAGACTCAGTGGTGCTGTTCAAAAAGGTATGGAAGATACAGACTCAACTGTCATCCATTGCTTTGGAAATGTATTGGTGTTAAAAATTTAAAATATCTCTGCAATAATGTTTTTATGTTGAATTATCAATCAGCGTAGATTCCATATTGTCCGTTTATAGTTCATTGGTAAGCTGCCCAGAAAACAGTGAAAAATTTGTTTTTTAAGAATTTTTTTTCAGTCAAAAACAGATCATTATAAGCTCTTCTACTTTGAACAGATCAAACTTCAAACTTACCATAAAAACTGTCATTAAATTTAGGCACAATTAACACACAAAAACTAGTCAAAAAATATATGTAAGAATAAAAATAACAAACCAAAGCTTAGCTGAGAAAGCAACTGAAAGTTTCTGAAAAGTGATTACATTGCATACTGAAAGTCAAAACGTAAAACACAATCACAACTTCACACAAAACTTTTGACTCCAAAGTCTTCAACACCAATCTATGTTCATGAGGTAAAGATTTACAGTGCAAGGTGATCAGAGTGGCCAGATCACCTCCTGGCCACCCTGAGAGGGATGTAACCCCCAGGTTACGTCTTTTAGACATGACCCGGGGTTCATGGTGAGATCCCATGAACCGACACATAACACAGGGAGTTAAAAGCTCTCAGTGATGAGCCCTGTCTGCCTTTAAATTAGACACAGTAGTAAATGCAATTTTAAAATCTAAAATTCCTCAACACTGTAAAAACACAAAACCAAAAAATACATTTTGGTCTAGTCTGTAGTTCAAACATCTTAGTACACCTGAAATATGACAAAACTAACTTATAATTACCTTTACAGAAAGATATAGGTGCTTGTTTAAAGTGAACGATTCCTTAATATTGATGTAAAAGTACACTGTAAAAAAAAACAAAAAACGGCCTCAATTTACGGTAAAAAACTGGCAGCTGTGGTTGCCAGTATTTTACTGTCTTTTCATGGTAAAATTCTGGCAACCAAAACTGCCAGTTTTTTATTGTATTTTTAAAATACGGTAAAATACCGTATTTCCTAAAATATGATAAAATAAAAAATTAAAATGTGCTTTTGCCGTAGTAAATACGGTCATACTGCCTGAGGCATAATATCTACAGAAGTGAAAAACATGGCCAGACTGTATGATATACTGACATTTTATTGTAAAGAAACCCCAAAACTTTATGGTAAATTACCGGTCGCTGTTCTTACCAGAATTTTACCATAAAAATTACAGTTCAACACACAAGGAAGTTTAACTTGTCAGCATTTCTATACAGAAAGTTATAAAGAAAATAAATTCAAATTAAACAAAATACAGATTACGAGTAATCCACTTAAAGAAATAATTTCTATTTAAAAATTCAGTTAAAAAAAGAACCGACTCTATTTTCTGTCCAGTTTCCTCCCGGTATTACTGAGATCTGGAAAACAAAACAAACAACAACAAAAAACAGCATGTGTCCACATAAGAGATAACCTATTGTAGAAGAAAAACCGGTGATAAAACGATTCTTGTTCTGGGTTGAGAGTCACTGAGTTCAGACTTTGCTCAGGATGGTTGTAGTCTTCCCAGTCACAGGTTGAAATTGAGACTCACATGTTGTCAATCGGGTGTTTCCTCTCTGCTGGAAAACAAACAAAGCAAAAGTTAGAAAGATGCACTACATGAACATCATACAAATGCACCATTCGCTTAAATGTTTGTTTCATCTTTGTTGACTTTCATATGGAGACTGGTACTTCAACCAGGCAGTGTGATCATTTCTGACTGAAAATTCAGTAGTTCTTAAACCTTTGTTTGTTGTCGACAGGTGTTTATACAAAGCTCCGTCTTGGAGCAGCAATCCTTTTCTTCTTTTTTCAAATGTATGTCCCCAAACAAGAGAGAACCCTTGTAACATGTTAAACAATCTTACGTCCAACTTTCAATACACAAATTGACTTTAAAAGTTAAATATAACTGTTTTAGGCAATTTATGAAATAGATACTCACCATTTATCTGAGTCTCATGAAGGCCAATAAGTTGTCTTCAACCATTTATGTAAGTTACAATTCCTGCAAGCTAGCAGAAACAAAGCTGTAAATGTGAACACTTTTCATACAGGCAAACAAATAGATACACCTGAGACAATTTATGCTATGTTAGATTTTCTCAGTCACTTTTGGTGCATTTCTCAAGTCATTGTTGGCATTTACAAAACAGTAAACGCATTTCTCAAAACAATTTGTAGAAACAGCAAAAATAGCATTTGTTTGCTTGAAAAATCCTTAGTTCAGCTCTCAAAATTCTGTCAGTTAACATATCAGTAACTCAAAATAATAAGTTATAGTTTCTCTATGTACAGATAAGACAGTCAAATTGATTAGTCATGGGAAGAGACTACAAAATTCACATTTACGCTTTTGCTGTAATTTATTACATGCCATGGTGATTCAGAAAGAAAAATAGAAATGCAGAGAACAAAAAAAAAAAGTAGATAAGGAACCATAGGACAATCTCCTCATGGAAAACTGTACAGTGCTGTAGAAATTACATAATTACATTACATTTTAATTTCCATCATCATGCTGACAAAGGTTCCTCAGTGGGGTTAAGGAATGAACAGTAGGGTGGGAGGACCTCCATCAGCATCATATTGTGGGTCGCAAACCATATCCTGATGTTGGACTGATGGAAACTGGCAGATGTCCTCATCCTCTTCTGACTCTTCTTCTGCTTTCCTCCCAACTATTTCCTCCTCAGCCTCACTCCTCTTCTTCTCTCTGGCTGTTCACTTGGTCCAGATACTTGTTCATCAGTTCTCAGAAATGTAACATTGTGTTGTGTTCTGGCATATAGACCATATTGTTGCCAACTGATGGTTCACAGATGCACCTTCAATCTGTTTTCAGAAAACTGGTTGATCGTTGGTTGAGCTAATGGTTCATACATTGACCTGTTAGAGAAACTCAGGACTCACTTGGGAGCAATTTACCAATTCAGGACAGATTTAGAAAAGAATCAATTATAAATTAATTAAAATATGATTGACATTATGACAACTTTAAGACTTATGCATGTTAAGACTTACACAATGAACTTATGCTGTTTTGGAAGTTGGGAATTCAACACAGACACGTTTAACATATTTTGATCAACATGATAAAAGCAAATTACAACGGGGGAAAAGCAGAGAAGTGCACATAATCAGTTACATGATGTACAAAAGCAAAACTTGCAAAAGGAATGAGAAACTCATTTTTTGATGTGCAGTACTGACAGTAATTTGAAGATTGAACAGGTAGTTTTAAGAATTTCAATTCTGTTCTGAGAAATGCACCCAAACTGAGAAAAACTATAAAATATTAATATTTAAATTTCCTTATCTTAAAACCCTTCAACTGTCATGGACCCAGTGACTTTAGTGCAAGTATTTTGGGGGTGAGAGTCAAGAGGTCAAAGGAAAATATTAAATATTAGCTCTGATGCCAAGCTTTATACTTCCAAGTATTACCAAAGTATTACCATTACCATTACAAAACATTAGCATTTTGTCAAATTTTAGTTTATGCATTCATTTTAACATAATGTATGGTACAAGTACAGCTTAGTCCACATGCTTCTGACTCTCCACAGGTTATTGACTACACTGAAGCTTTCTTTAGCATTAATGCTAATTTTAGCATCAGAATGCTGGGTCCAAACTGACGGGCACACTTTGGCAGGTCCCGGTGAAATTTCTTCAGGAATTTTCTAGTTATTCTTCCATCACTGTTAATGCGGCTCGTACCGCTGCGTTCCCACCCACAAAAGTGGTATCAAATCGTGCGGCTCGATGCCAAGAAGGGAGCTATTATTTTTATTGGGGATCGGAGTTACGATGGCGACGTAAAAAGCGAAAAACGAGCAAAATTTCCAACTGCCGAAACGCAGAGTGTAACTGACACCAACTGCCGCTTTTTTAGAGTGAGAAACAGGGTGGAATTTTGACCCCAAAATAATTTTGAAATCGCTCTCATGCGTGCAAAACTTGCTCTATTGGTATGAAAGTCGGTCATGACATTGATAGGAATGCCTGCTCCGGTAAAATGTTTTCAAAATTTTCCTAGGGCTTACGGTTTTCGGTCCAGGTGCTTCGGAGCAAAGTGATGGGACAGGACTAACTGACGTTCCTCCCCAGTGTTTTACATACATTTCTGAAAAATCTCTGAGCTCAGCGCACACCATTTTTCTCTGATCACTGCAATTACTGTGAATAAGCTACAGATATGAATCGCGGTACTAAATGAGACGACAAATAGCCCTCTCATATGCTTCAAACGGTTTTTGGATCGGCCTTACGGATCCTAAACGGGAAACAGTTGTTCGGACTGCTTTTTTCATTAAAACTGACTGGGTGTCTCATAAAGATAGATAAGTCTGACACACACAGGGCAGTTTCATCACCATAGCAACAGAATACAGAGATAGGGAGAACTGCTGGGGTTTGGACTACAAAGACTGTGTAGTTCTAAATATGGAGGAACACTTTAATACAGAGGGCAGAGCAGAAGGTCAGAACTACAACATGGTGGAACACTCAATTATTACAGAGGAGGCCTCAGATGGCAGAACTACTTCCTGTTTTGGGCTTTATACAGGTGGATTAACAAAACCACTGTTACACATGGGATTAGTGTTGCCATTTCAAATGAAGTTTACTGAAAGTTTCAAAATAAAAGCCTGCATACTTCCCTCATGTAATATTAAGCTTTTTTCTGTTTTTTTTCCTCTGGATTAACATTAACATTACCATTCCAT